TTTTTTATTAAGTTAATTTAATAACTTTTCATATTAATTTTTTATATCAATTTTTCATTAAATACAATGAAATTAATAATTCTAAAATTTTATTATAAAATTTTTTAATTTTTTATATCAATTTTTCATTAAATACAATGAAATTAATAATTCAATAAAATTTTAATAAAATTTTATTATAAAATTTTGTAATTTTTTATACATGCTTTTAACTTTATATAATATTTTTTTAACATTTTTTTAATTAAAACTTTACTAATAAGATGACTCTCCAACTAAACATGGCCTTGTATATGTTACCGAACCAATTTGTTAGTACAAATTAACTCTATGGTAAAGCTTTCATTTGGAATTCAAACGTAGGCAATTATTGGGAGGGGGGAATAGGAAAAGTGACGAGTTAGGGCTCGTGTTCAAGCCCTGCAGGTGCCCTCTACTCCTGTTGGGTGCAAGTACCACTCGCTTCACTCTTTTTTTTTTTTTTACAAAAATAATGATTAGTATGTTAGTTTTATTAATTGTTAACAACTGAAAATTTAATTTTCAGATTTGGTGAATATCTCACATTTTTCAATAAGGAGCACGGTCCATCGAATCGCTTAGTGGAATTCCCCGCTTCACTCATTGGTTAGTCGTTGGAAATTTAAAATTTTGTAACATTAAACAACTAGTAATTTTAGTTTAGAAATTCATGCTTTTACAACATTAAACAATAAATTTTAAATACAACAAGGCATAAATATGTTTCTTTTCAAAAAGTAATAAAATGTAAAGAGTTATTTACTTGAAGGGTCTATAATACTTTTAATAGTTTAAATAGTTTATTTTTTTTATTAAAATTTAAATCCCTCCCTAATTTAAGAAGTTGTTTGATTGGATGTATTTTCTAAAGAATTCAAATAGCATGCTGAAGGAAAGAATTCAGCCTTGCTGCAGAAAATAGAGAAGGTCCGGGGGGGAAATTTCCTTATCTCTTTCCCCTACGTTAACCGAGGAGTCACATTTTAAGGGATTGGCCTAAAAACAATGGTTGGTTTTCTTAGCTCTATGGGGCTTTATTTGTGCAGTTATTTTGTCTCGTTAGCTGAAAAGAAGGATTTTCTGCTGATCTTCACGCCACCCTTTTAGCTGAAAATGAACGCTCACCCTCATATGTTTCAGTCATTCTGAGATGATTTAATGAGGTCCAGCTTTTTTTTTTTTTGGCATATATATAAATGACTGATTTTTGTTTTTTATTTTTTTAACAAAGAAATATATGTAGTAGAGATGGGTAGAAAATGAAGGAAAAAAAATAAGAAGACTTTTTTTTTTAATGTGATGGTACTACTCTATTTTTAATATAAGATATATTTAATTTAAGAAAAACAAAATAAAGGGATGAATCATTTCATTAATTATATTGAATTATAACCCAACATTATAATTTTATTATTAGTTAAAAAAATCACTGCTTCATTCTTCTTAATACTTCGATCATTTGCTTCCAATTTAACATACTCGGTATATGATCCGATGGAGATGCCCTTAAAATCCACATCTCTGGTTCCACGTGGGAGCATCAAACTGGATGAAAATAACTAAACTCAGGCAGAAATAATGAATCGGGCAAACTTTTTTTTTTTTTACAAGGATAATTATTAAAAGTTAGTAAAGTTAGAATTATTAATAGAAGGTATTAAATCTGGATAAAAGCATAATCTATTAGCTGTTTTTTTGGACAACAACAACTAAAGCCAACGAAAGAATGTGAAAAAAAAGACGAGAATTGAATCCACACCAAAAATAAAATGTCTTTTAACAAATAATTAAGTAGTTACTTGGACCACACGGCTTCTTGAATCGGGCACACCTGATTGCGTCACATGCTCAACTTATAGTGAAATATTACTAAGATTAAATCCATTTATTAGTACGAGGGAATGAAATTTATTTTATTTTAAATAAGATAACGAATTAAAATATTATAAATAAAAAACAATCATTGAAAGCGTTTTTTTATTTATAAAGCGGTTAGCTTCCAATTAATTAAAATTTATTGTAGTTATCATATACCTAGATTAATAAAAAAATAAAAAATAATACATGTAGGTACAAGGTGGTTTTCTCTGGAGTGACACGTAGAGAGCTTTAGGCGGACAAAACGACAAATGTTTGTC